TGTACGAAAAAGTCTATTAACGTTTCATAAAAATTAACTTTACAATTCATTAAGTTACATTCCAGAAAACAAATATCAAAAGTTGTGTTGAAACCCCAAGAAGAAAATTTCAAAGATCGTATAATATGGACTTACTCAATATTACAAATAGTATCAAAATATTATTCACCATCGTAAGTTGATCATAAGTTGAAGTAATTTTAATTAATTTCCCTTTCAATATTTTCACTTCTTTTAAAGTAATTGAAATTCTATTCGTAATATAAGAGTATGGAATGGCGATTTTATTTTCAAATCTAAAAGTAATATAAACTTCTAGAAATTGTTGACGAGTTCCTTACGCTATATTACTTTCAAAGAATTGCACGAATTCTAGCGAAGACATCAAATCTTGTTTAAAAGTACCTTTAGGATGTGGAATGTTGAACATTATTAACTTTATGCACTCAAGTAGAAGAACAAAATATTTGCATAGATTTTATATTTTGTTTGTTTTTAAAAAAAAAATTTAATGCAGACACTTATTGCTTAAAGTTTATGGCAAGTAGGTTCATGAACTTTATTTGACTGCAGTTTATCACTGACGGAAGTACTAACGATTCTTGACGTAAACGATTCGTGCCTTTTTCAAGACTCGTTTGGGAGGCTGTTGTTAGTGATGAAAAACGATGAAAGAACTGTGAGTATTTTAATCGTGATTAATTATAAACGAAGGTAATGATGTCGAGGTGTTAAAACGTGTTTAAAAGTTCGAAGGTAATTAGCGGCAAGTCTTGATTTATTTCTTGCTGCAAGAATAATAATCTCTGCTTTAGGAAATTTTTTCTCTTTTAAAAAAAATCAACACACCATTAAGTTAGATAATGTATTTTATTCTTACGAGAAAATGAGAAACTAAGGGGATTTTTTTAAACAAATATTTTTTCTTTTGTAATTCATTAGGTTAATGAGCAGGAGAATTTATTAAACGAGTTCCTTAATCTAAAAAAATTACAAGTTGAATATAAAAATAGAATTTAGTTGACGTTACAAAAGCAAAATTTTTTGCTGTACAATTTTCCTTTTCAAGCGAATAAAAATTACTATTATGGTCTACAAGACCATAAAGTTTCTATTGATCATAAAAATTTGAGAATGTCTAAATTTTGATGAAATGAAAAGACCACTCTGTAATTCAAAACCGTCCATATCAATTCGAATTCAGTACTTTAAAAAAGGGATTGGTGACGTAAATGATATCATTTATCGTTATTCGCTTCGCTTTTCGTTCTCATTCGTAGGAATATTAATTGTTTAAATATCATATCGAATATAAGGGATTGTCATTCACTCTTGTTGGAAATTCAGTCCTCAACCATATACATATTTGCTTTTTCATTCCATAATAAAATTAATGTAGCTTTTTTTTCTTTTCCCGATCCGGTTTTTGCAAAAATTTTCCTATACAAATGAAATATTACCAACGTTTCATTTTTGTAGAAAAATTCTTTCTGTATGAAAATTGAAATTTATATGAAAAATTCTTTTTGTTAATAAAGTACTAAATAGGTCACGTATTTTTATTTGAACAGTTTTTTTTTAAATTTTATTTTTATGTTCAGTATGACATAGTTGAATTATTAGATACGCATGACCTTTCAATATTTACTTTCAAATGCAAATTGACTGTAAATAATTTCAATAAAAAAAAAAGTTCTTGAAAATTAAGAGGATGTTAGAACATCTTTGAAAGTTGGTGTAAGAACAGTTAATTTTACCCTGGAGCGTATAATCCTTGTAGAAATGACTCGTTCAAGATGATTGCCTTCATTCACTTCTTATCGGAAGTCGCCTGAGTGGCGATTGCCATTGTCTTCAAGTTACGTTCTTTTCAAGGGGATATGCTCACCTCTTTCAAAGACATTCAAGCAGTATTGAAAATTTTTACCTTGTGCTTTTGTGAATTCCTTTATTTCAATATAAAAGTTAAGTCAAAGATTAAAGAATCTTCAAGGAACGCTATATGTTAAGCGCCAAAAAGTGTTTGGTTGAAATAATCGAAATTCCTGGTTTTTATCAGAGGGGAAATAAGATATTAGACATTCGTCTTAAACTCAAAAGCGCGTTATCCGGAAGAATGTTAAAATAACGATAAAAACTGAAAATCCTTCAAAGGATGATGAATCAAAAAAAAAAGTGAATAGGAAATCTAATTTTAATTATAAACGTAAAACATCCAGTACCACCTCTGGAAAAACAAGTTAAAACTTTAAATGCGTACGAGAACATCAATATTTGAAAAATTCTAATCACGTTTCTGTTTAAAATTTATTTTCAATAATCAGGAAATTATTTTAACCTCCATACATTAAAAAGCGTAAAAATTGAACTATCATCAGAGAAGTATTTCATTCGATAAAGTATAAAAGTTTATTGGAAAAAACTTCAACAATATTTTTGACATGTATTGAAAATCTGAAGAGCGTAACCAACGCAATAGGATATAAAACGTAACCTCTTTCGAAACTATTGTTAGTCTATAATAAAGGCTTTAAAAATTCTTTCTCCGGAATATTCATGAATAGATTTTCATATAAATAATAAAAAAAAACTGAGAATAATAGCAAAATTATTTTAGAAAATAGTATTTAGAATAATTTAATGAGGAACATTGAACATTATTAATTATTCATTATTAAATAAATTATTTCAAAAATCTATTCTGCAATTGTTTTCATTAAATTAAATTTCTATTTCATCATCTAAGTTGTTGAATTCGAGGATAAATTTCGTCAGCAGATAAAAAAAGAAGAAGAAGAGAAATTGAAAATGTCTCTACATGATCGTTTATAGGATAAGTTTCGTATAATTTTCCTTCATTGCTTTTGCGAAAGTGAAGATCTTTTTCTCGCTTTTTCATGGGCAGGAAAAAATACAGCAAGACAAATGATGAAAAGAAAGAAGAAGCAGCCAAGAATGTAAAGTTTGAAGAAAAAACTTTTCGTCTCTAAGTAATACTATGCGAGGGAGATTTGATTAAAATTATTATTACTACGGATTTTAATTGATTTAATGACATTTCAATTAATTGGATTACAAGAAAGAGGGAATATTGATGATAAAGTTCTTTTATTGATAAAATAAAAGTTGTAGTTGTTTCTTGACTTGAGTTTTTGTTGATATGCCTAATTCGACTTTAAGAACAGTTTTCTGCATCCAAATTCTGGTATCTTGACTCTTCCTCGCCGTCCACTTTTAGGGAATTAGTCACTAATTTTTAGTTCCTCTGATCCAAAACCAAAATCTCTTTCAATTTTTTTATTCTGTTTCATGTTCGATAATTACTATCAATTGGGGACTTATGTGTTATTGCGGGTCAATTGATGATATTTTCGTCTACTTAGTTTGTTAAAAATAGATAAATAAATGAATATAAGAAAATTATATAACAAAAATATAAAAATTGATAACTTTTGTTTGGGCGATTCTCCTACTAAATATTCATCCCATGTCTGACCAAAACATTCTGCTTCCCCATTGTAGAGAATACTAAAATGCCGAATTTTCAGGTATAGAGCGCATTTTTCAGTGGTTAAGGTGAACTTTTGCCAGAAAAAAAGTTAAACACAACAAAATACAAATGTATGTGGAATGTTAAAAAATATTTCGACGAATAATGTAATTTTTCTGTTTGGTAAAACGTGTGAAATAGATTGCAGTTAGGCATTGCTTTTTACTTCAAAAATTTTGTTGTTAATGTAAGAAATAATTAAAAAATATTTTAAAAATATTTTTAAAATATTTTAAAAACGTTTCAGATGTTTAAAAAATTTTTTTTATTGAAATAACACTAATACTGTTTAGTATCCACTTGTTTGTACAGCTCCTAGTTTTTTTTTTACTAATTTTCAAAAAATTTCCCTTCTTTATTAAAAATGGAAGTTGCTTTTTCCTTCCTTTGGAGCATGATTTACGAGCACCTATGCACTAGTATGTTGTGCATAAAGAATTAAATAGCAACTTGGCAACGTTTCGTGCCAGAAGCTTACTGGTTCGTGGAAAAGTAAGGGATGGCTATTACACGTATAATTACAAAAAAAAATAAAAAAAAATATATATACGAAAATCATAAAAGTGAATTTTTAATTTTTAATAAAGATACGTGCTCTATCATTTGATGTTTAGTGAATTCAAAATTTACGTCAATAAATGCACACAATGACAAATCCAGTTTCAGATCGGTTGGAATCTACTTCACTCGTATGTCAACCGTCACAAATTCGATTTATCGTTGAACAAAATGTGTGAGAGAAGCAAGAGAGCAGAGACTGGCGTCAGGTTTACGAATTTCGAGCTTTTGCCTGTGCTCCTGGAATTTAAAGCTTTCAATTTACAATAGCTTTGTTGGAGACAGTGCCAAGTGGTTTTTCACATTTTTTTAATATGAGAAATTTCTTTTTTAGTTTTTGAATTGCTTTAATACGTTAATAAATGAAAAAAATGTAGTTATGACAATATTTCTCGACTGTAAGACTTGCACTAAGATGGAGGAAATAAAAACTTAAAATTCCTAACTATAAACCCTAGTGAACCCTCGGACTGAATATTTAAAATTATTGTTAATCCTAACATTTTGATATGCAAGGCAAATACGATATTTATTTAAAAAAGCATATGATAAAAATACCTATTTTCTCCCTTTACTTTACCTATTTTGAATTCTACTTTAGTGACAATGTAAAGATAATAATGGAAGATTTAAAGTATAAAGTCTGCTAAATGTTGAAGCAAATTTATAATTCATCTTCTTCGTGAGCTTTTCACTAAGTATGAAACTTAGTCCCGAAATTATTAGTTGAGCTTTATTTAAACTTTGCAATGTAAAATGATCATTATTTCCAATTCCAAAAAGCCCTGATATACAGAATTACCAATTAATCATTATGAGATTTTTGTCATTAAATAATCTAAGTAATTTTACCATCCAAACAAATAAATTCTTTTTACATTTTTTATTTCAGTTGCTGGATCGTCCACTAGGACATCTCTTGCCAATGAAGAATCAAAATGGATACTTTCTGAAATTCGGAGAAGCAGTAGATCTTCGAAAGTGGTATCCACTATTCTACCTACAGGAGATTCAGTGGACCCGAGAAGTAAAGGAAGCGCCAAGATGGACGACTTTGAATCAAGTACCGAGAACGATTTGACTGACAGTTCTAGTCTAGACACTCGATTGGATTTGGGATTTCCAATGGTCACTGCATCAACTGAGGATAGAGAGCCTTGGCATCAAACAGTGTCAGAAGGGAATAAAGGTGACAGGAACTTACTAGTCACTGATGTTAAAGTCCACGGGATTTTCCGCTTGTCTTCAACGCCATCCAATTCTTTTGGCAAAAAAGAAACTGAAAGCTTTTCAGTAAATCCATCCACTCTTCAAATTTCATCAGAATTGCCATCGAATGAAATAAATTCTCTCAATTCTTCAATAATTCCTGACTTAAAGGTAAGTTTATTTGAAGTAATCTTGATGATTGAATCTTACCACTGCTGATTGTAAAGTTCATTAAACATTTTAATAATCCTTATATGAAAGGAGTAGATATGCAAATTAGGTAAAAGAACACATTCTTATGTTATTCTTTTTGGAAAGATTTCTTTAAAAAAACTATTGCCATTAATGATCCGGTTGCGTTTTTATAAGAAAAGTTTGTGACCTAATTAAATAAATACAATATAGTCTATTTTAATTTCAGTCTGTTTCTTCGACATTACAACCAAAAGTGTCCTTTGATCATTGGATAAGTCGATATCTACCTACAACTTCTGTACATTCAACTGAGATTGGTTTTCCTCGTCGACATATGAGGGAAACAGACACAAATCAAGAGTGTTCAAAATTTGTCGATGACGGCGATAAACAGGAATTCTTTAGTCCCGGCTATCCTGGGAAATATCCTGGAAAAATTAAATGCGTTCGTGTAATTCAAGGTTGGTATTTTATTGCTTTAGGAAAATAATTAAATTTATAAATATGTGAACCATCCTCCGGCTATTCAACTATTATTAACTATCAGGACACTTGAATCTACACGTACATCTATTCTCTACAATAAGTCCTCAAATGTTTGTCCATTATTCAGACCACTAACTTTTGCTTACCCTAAGTTTGATGACCAACTGCTCACCATCTCCTCTTGAGGCAACACGTTCCCCTTTGTCAATTAGTTTCATTAATTAACATTTAGGTGGGGAAATCATACTTAGAGTTTGTTTTACTTCATTGTTGCCAAGTGGGTATTGGAGACTTGCACTTTTAGATACAACTGGTGTTGTGGAATTCATAATTGTTTTTAGTTTCATGTTTACAAGTTTACCCTTTAGGTTTTCGCTTCTCTAACTTATTTAGTTATTCTTTGTTTAATACTGACAACCTTTAAAGTCCTCTTTATTGGTTTTTCATCACAGTATCTGCTATTTAACATTCATTAGTTATCACGAGACCACTCCTGCACTTACTGTCATGAATGTTATAACGATCCAAATCGTTTTCTTACTTTTCTTTAAATATGCCATTTTCTGATTGTTTCTCCAATTCACAATTTATCGCGCTAGGTGTTAGCCTAATAGCTACTGCGACCATCGGTCGTTAAAAGAATTATAAATTCAGGTGTCATCGGACCAAAGACGAATGTATGTATGTGTGTGCTTATTGCACTTCGACGCAACCTTTTGCATCGTTGTAACGCGCTTTATAGTTAATTAAATATTTACTTTTTAATTATTTTTGTTTTATTGTGTTTGTTCCCATCACTAGGAATATTATTTATAGGAGAACATTTGCGCTGCTATTCAATGATCATCATTTGGTAAGTTTGCTCAATCTTCTCCATCTCATCTATTGGTCTCGTCTATCAATGATATTGTAATTGCTCATTTAATTAAAACTATAGGTAAAATCATCTTTTGATACGTGAAGATTTCGTTCATTAACCCTTGTGTCGACTGTCGTGAGCCGAACCCTTATCCTCATGTTAATTTTCAAAAATATTAAAGTCTCGCGAAGTTTGCTACAATGTACCATTACCAATGTTACGTCCCAAAAAGATCCAATAGCTTATGAACACTTTCTTCTTTTATTTCTTGGTTTAGTTAAATAATTTTAGGGTTTTTTTAAGGGAGGAAAATTTGAGGATGGAGATATTGTAGAAAGGAAAAAAGAGGTTGACTATCTTAGAATTAGTTTAAGAAAAGAAAATGGAGAGAAAATGAATTAAGAAAAAGGACGCAATTGGTGAATTTTGGGTCCGTCCCATTTTAATGGGTTTTACGCGTAGGAGGACATTTGAAAAATGAGCTGACACTTTTCCTTCCTCAACTCTCTTTCCAACTCAAATTCTACAGAAATTTATTATTAATAATTTTATTCATAACTAATTATTGTTAGAGAAAAAATTATTTCAATTTCATCCTTTTACTTATTTTTATTGTTAATAAGTCCAAAATGTAAAGTAAGATACTTTTTGGGGTTGGCAAACCTCCTTCTTGATTTTAATGTTTTATTCAAAAAGTTACTTATTCCTCTCTGACTCTGTGAATTAACTTACGTACAAGGTAAAACCATTGAAACTCAGATTCATCATCACTTGTTTCGAACTTTAGAGGAACTTTGCTTGAACTCGACTGTACTCTTGAAACCGGAAGTACATTCTACTGTGGAGGGTAGCGTTGAAACAATTTATAGTGACGTATTAAAATTTCAAACTTCGATGGAATATGAACGAGCTTATAATTGACTGGGAAAATGGAATTATATTAAATGATCGTATTAGAAGAGGTTAAATTGTAAATTGCACTTAAAATATATTTGAATACTGTACAAATTAGTAATTTTAAAAGTCGGATAATTATTTCCATAGTTAATTTACTTTCTGGATGTGGTAGCGAGTTTAACTTTTGTTTTTTTTATTTAATCGAAAGAGTGAAATCAGACGAATGGGAAACGCATTTGTGGTGTATGAAATAACAAAGAATCAAGTATAATTTAATGTTTAAATTTATTTTGTATATCAAACAATGAAGATGGATTAGAAAATCAAAAACTTCTTAAATGAAATATGGCTGAGGTAAAAACGGCACAACAAACATTTCTTAAATGAAACGTAAAATTGATTATTCAGCGGAGTCGTATTACCTCGTTGTCTTATTTGAACAGATTCAGTGTTGATTACCTTAAGAAAAAAGGGAGAGGTTTTATCAGCAGCAGGAGACCGAAGCCCAGCTTTTAAGAGCAATCATAATTACAAGCAGCAGAAATTAACATATCAAATTATTATTCTCCTTCTGTTAGTACTCCACGATGAAAAACATCAGAAATTTTCCCTCATGTCAGCAGCTCAACCTTTAAATGAACACTGTCCCTTTCGTCTGTCCGTTTAACTTCTTAATCCATTCTCATCCCCTCCAGTTTTTGTCACAGAGTTATTCGAAAAAAGAAGAAAGAGAAAAGGGGGTAGAAGATATTATTTGGTCGTTCAGATGGAATTGTTTTTTCTTAGTTAAGAAAGCGTTTGTATTTGTTAAAGATCAAATTTCAAGTTGGTAGAATAACTTTGGAGATTGTTATTTATCCTGGTGGCCTTAAAGTTTTGACTTTCCCTTAAATTTTATGCATCACGATAGAAATAAATAGTTATTTTAGAGTAGGGAACTTTACTTACCTTCAGCTGTAGAATCTACCGTCGAAAAATGAAAATTCATTCAAAACTAAAAGTACGAACAAGAAATATCGTCAGAGGGGAAACTGCGTGGTGAAGGAGATAGCTTTTAGTCAGACTTGGGGTTGAGTGTGGATTCAGTATTATTATGCCACATGGGTGAACCAGTGCGCGCATGACCCATTTACAGGGCCGAAGCAGGTTGTCTAATTAACGGATTTTTCAGTTCGAGTCTGGTTGTCGTGGATAATAAATAAAGATATTATTTTCGGATTATTCGGTTCAACTATAGATTATCGTCTTGTAATCTTTGAGATGAGAGGTTAGTGATCAGATCCTTATCTTTCGCTTGCAGAGCAATTATAGTGAAATTTCTTTTTTGTACGGATTACCTTTATTGCTGTCTTCGATTATCGACACATTCATCGCAATCATTTTAAATCTTCCACTTTTTTTTTTTGGTTTTAAATTTTTTCGACTGCGTGCTTCAGGTGCGGAGAAGTCGATCATAAGTTCGCAAACTGTAAAAGAAGTCTTGAGTTTCAAAGAAAGAATTTTGTTACATGGATGGAACATTATCAACGGATAGTATATGTCAATTAATTAAAAATAAAATTATTATTATAAATATTATATTACATGAAATTAAATAAATAAAAAGTAGTTACATCGTGATTCTTCAGCGCTTTTAGAACGAATCGATACATCGAAGTATTTATGAAAAAAAAGCATAAAAAAATGCAAAGCATTTACCGTTATCGGTTCATTGGTTCGTAAAGGGTTCATTGAATAATGTTTCTTTTAAAAACCACAAAAACTTTAAAGTTACCCAAAATTAAATTCATGTTTTATGATAAAACATTTCAATACTGTGTGCAATAAGCAGAGATGGAAAAAAAGGATAAATAATTTATCGAAAGATACTCTTGAAGGATAATAATTTTTTTAGTAGCACACTTTTTCTGACAATGAAAGTTCGAAAAGTTAATCTTGAGTTTTCATAACCATTTTCAGATATTAAATCAGAACACTTCTTCCACTTTTTTATTCAAGTTTTTAATAACAATTAAAATGTATATTTACATTTGTTAAATTTTGCTTATTTTTATAATTAACGTATTTTTTTTTACTTTAGTTATAAACGGTAAAAATGAGTGAAATAGTTCTTTAAATTATAACAGAATTTGCAGAGAGTGCTAATATTAATCCAAGTGCAGCAATTTATTTCTATCGAATGATTACATCTTCTGATTTCTTAGTGATTACCTTTTTACTAACGCCATTGGGTCAATGTAGTTGCCACCTTTTTACTTCGAACCATTCTTTTTTCTTTTTATGCGGCTCTCGTTATCGGCTTGAAAAAGGGATAAAACTAAACGAACAGAAACTGGTGTAGTAAGAAGAAACTGTTCAATGAGGAAAAAATGGAAGTAGAGAACGAAAAAAATTACGTATAAAGAAGATTCATTCAATCATTAAAAATATTTCATATATGTAAGTTTGTCGTTAGTGTCAGTATTCTGTTAGTTTATAAAAGAATTTTCGGTCTTCTATTTTTTGAAATTAATATTACGAGTTCACTTTTTAAACTTGAGGAGTGCATAAAGTATTAAATATTCAAATGATTGTTCCGTTCATCGAATTCCGTAGTTGACCAATAATAACCTTCAGCTATAATAGAACGAAGACCATGAAATTCGATATCAACATTGTGGACTACTGCAAAATTGTTATTACTCTCCAGCTTCGAGTGGACTTATGACTCATGTATGTATGTCGAAAGATGCTATCAAAAGTTTTACTGCTGAAGATGTTTACAGTTTTGTAAAATAATATTATACCATGTGTACTGCAGGTGTACATTTAGAAACAAATTCCAGGAAATGTCTCCTATTCTTGTTATAATCTAGCAGTTAGCCTCTCACATGAGGGGGGAAACTTTAATCATAATTTCTCTCACTGTGGAAGATTGTCCACCATAAAAATCCGTGTTTTCATTGTTGATCGACAGTCTCTCTGACGTTAAATCATAGTTGACGTCGTAACGTGTGCGACGATACGATCGTTAAAGCTTGACTCTTCAGTTGCTATAAATTTGTCGACTTTAACTCTTCGAAGTTGATAATTTATTAGCTTTTGACGCGATAAGCATATTGAAACATTAAATATAACAGAGTCAATCTTATTGATTATTGTGTGCAAACATGTTTATCTTTATCATTAATTCTTCGTTTGGTTGTCCTTGAGTTTTATTGTATTTTGATGCGCTATAGA